CCCCCCTTCCAGCTCCCAGCCCAGCCTCCCCTCCTCCACAAACAGCCCCCCTCCTGCAAAGCCCACGCCGGCCCCTCCCTGGGGTCCCAGACACCACGCCCAACGGTTCCCGCGCAGGCAACGGGAGACAGCCTCTCACCTCCTCAAACCACATCAACGGCAGGACTACTGGCTCGATCTTCCCTGTTTGTCTGGAAATAAGACCAAAACATTGTGAGTTTTGTCAGCATGTTTTTTATGTCAGGCGGGTCCAGATCAGCAGGGATTTGATTTTGCAAGGGCTGGATTGGTGCCGGCTTGAGAGAGGGGTATTTCCTGGCAGGGAGCAACTCGGCGATCTGCTCACATCTTTTTGAATTAAAAACTCACGTCACCTACACGGTGGGGGGCCGGGGGGACTGCCAGCGACCTGGCTGATGCCCACTGGTTCCTTTTAGAAACAAAAGCCCACAGTAAGTCGGGATGGCAATGCACCCAGCACTATGCTCACTTCCTGCTTTCCTTTGGAGAGTCTGGAGGCTGGGTCCACGCCAGAGGGTGTCTACGTGACCAGGCCCCAATAAATACCCTGGGCGCTGAGTCCCTAATGGACTTCCCTGGTAGAAGACACTTCACATGCGTTGTCACAACTCAATGCTGGAGGAATTAAGGGCGTCCTATGTGACTGTCCCAGGAGAGGGTTCTGGAAGCTTCTGCCTGGCTCCCGCAGACTTCACCCCGCACACCTTTTCCTTCGCTGATTTTGCTTGAACCCTTCCTCCGTAATCAATCACAGCCACGAGTACAACTATGTTCTGGGTCCTGGGCGTCTTCCCAGTGAATCATCGGACCGGACGGTGGTCTGTCTTGGGGTCCCCCCGACACAACTGACTAGCTGTGTGACCCTGGGAACGCGACCTACCCTCCCTGTGTCTCCTCCGCCAAGTGGGGACTGCTCTGGCACTGAATGCGGCCCCATGAAAAGTGCTCAGAAGAACACCCACCCTATAGAAACTACTCCAAGCTCGTTACTGTCATCGCTGTTGTTCGTTACCAGCAAACAAACGGGCCAAAATATTCTTCAGCTTCACCGTTTTGGGGTCTGCTTAAAGAAGGCACAGCCGGACAGAGGGGAAAGGGGACCCACCAGGGGGACAGAACCAGAGTCGGCACGAATGGCCAAAATCCTTCAATCACCACTCTCAGAACTCTCTCGGGCCACCTGAGACACAGAGTGTCGTGCAGGGCAACGAGTTTATACGGCACCCGCCGCGGAGGTGACACACAGAAAACATTACAGAAACACAACAGGAAGTCCACGCTGGCCCCTTCTTATTTGAGTTTGTAAGAACTGGTGTAAGTTCAGGGCAAAGAGTACGCAACCCAGCTGTCCGGATCTTGCGAGGATGGGGCGCCAGAGTCCCCCGGACGAGCCGCAGCGAAACAGCTCTCCGTGCAGGCAGCTGTGTCTCCGGCTTTTTCCCACGGCCACTGCCCACTGGCCCTCGGGGCTGGCGGGAGGCACCGCTGTTAGACCGGTTCCTTCGAGGCCAGAAGGAGTTGGGGGGGGGCGGTCAGACAGCTGTGTCGCCCTGTTGTGCCTGTCGCCCGGCACCCAGAGGCCCAGAGAGGTCAGGTCAGGGTAGAGGCCCGGGAGTCCCCACCACGCAGAATCCAGCGGCCCCCGGGGGTCCTGCTGACTTGAGCAACGTTTGTCGGGGATTCAAATTCACTTCCCACAGGTGAAAGTTAAGAGAGCGCTGGTTAAAATGCAGATTTTGAGAACCGCCTTTGAAAATGCACCCGATGGGGCCACAGCGGGCAGGTGTGAGCCCCCTGGTGCTGGGGAGGGGCGGGTCCTGGGCCCCATCCCCACCCGGCTTGCCTGGCTTCTCCTAGTCACCTGCTGGCCCCCCACGAAGTGATGCAGGCCCCAGAGCTGGAGCTCTGGGGTGGGGGGGGGGAGGGAGGGGAGGGCAGGCGCCTGGTGAACCCCCTGTGCCATTTCACCACCTAGCACACCCTCCGACAGCCCCCAAACACACAGATAAAAAGCCAGGGCGGGAGCGGAGGAGAGGAGCGTGTTCTTTCCAGCTGAAAGGCATTTTACAAAGGCGGCGAGATAGATGCTCACATTCCTGCAGCCCAGGAATCTTTGTAGGGGAAGCTTTTTTTAACGAAACTATTCCAAATATGCGTAAAGAAACAAAACAAAACACAACACAGAAGCCAGACCCCACCACCACGACTAAACCGGTGCAGCCCCTCGCCCAGCCCCCTCACGGCACCCCGTTCCAACCGCCGCTGGCGAGGATCGTGGGGGCCCGACGGCTCCCGCGCTGCTGGCGGGAAGGCCAACCGGGCAGCTGCCGTGCAAAACAGCGACTCTAACGCTGAACGCAGAGTTCCCGCGACGCCCGGCGAGGGATCCGCCCCCAGGTGTCTGCCCAAGGGAATCGAAAGCGTGCACCCACCAGAAACATATACGGGCACGTTCGCTCCTCACGACGGCCAAAAGCGACAGAGACCCAGATGCCCCTCAACTGAGCGAGAAGACACGCCGTGTGCGTCCAACGGAACAGGATTCGGCCGTAAAACGGAAGACGCTCGGACACCTGCTACGCCTCGGATGAGCCCTGACGACACGACGCCAGACGGCAAAGGCCACGTCTCCTACGCTTCCATTTATGGGACGTTTCCGGCACAGGCAAATCCAGAGACACCGAAAGTAGATAGATCAGGGCCTGCCAGGGGCTGGGGGAGGCGGGGGGCGGCTGCTAACGGACCCGGGGTATCTTTGGGGGTGACGGACTGCGACGGCCCTGCGCGACTCCACGGATCTGCCTCCAATCACCGAGCTGTACGTTTGAAAAGGGTGAGCGTAACGGTATGTGAATTGTATCTCGGTAAGGCCACGATGCGACACGGAAATGAAGCAAAACACAAAGGAATAGCTTAAAATATTCCTCCCACAAAGGGAAGAGTCACACTTTAAAATGCCTGTTGGGTGAGTTTCCATTTTCAAAGACTTGCTTTTGCCAGGATTTAATTTTTTTTTTTTTTTCCAGTTTTCTGTTGAGTGGGAAACCGCTTGGACAGAAGAGTCTGCTGAATCTGGGGGACAGATGTTAAGACAGAAGAAGCGGGGGTTCCGGGCCGGGGACCAGCCGGCACATCCGGGAGGAGCGTCTCCCTCCCCACGTGCGGGTCCCTGGGGACATCCCCCCCCCCCCAGGCCCAAACAAGCCACGCGGCCCCTCCTCCCGGACCCACTCACCCGATGCCTTTGATGGCCTTGACGTACAGGCTCAGCTGTAGTTTCACAGAGCAGTTCATGGGGATCCCGGTGACCTGTAGGAACAGCACGGTGAGGGGCCTGGGTTCGCGCCCCGGGAACGCCCCCAAACCCGCGTCCCTGGGCCCGCTCAGAGGGCAGGCGTCAGGGCTGAACTGCCGGGGCACCGGGGCCTCCCCGCTGGCTCCAGGCCCTTCCGGGGGGGGG